CCTGTTTTGATTCTCAGTCACTAATGGTCTGTCAGAACTGGCAGCTGTCTTGGGATCGCCTTACTTAGGGACACACAAATATTTCTGCTGCTTCTCATTCTTCCTCTGTAGGAACATCCATGGTCCATCTGCCCAGCTGTACCAGGCCAGCATTCCTTGCTGGCATCACACACACCCCTGCCAGGGCTCAGTCCAGGAAGCAGGCTTCAGGTGTCTCCGCTCTGTACCTCGGATGTCTTATCCGCTTCCCTGCCACAGCCACACCCACCCCCATGTCTGGGGTTTCCTTTATGACTCTGCGGGGAGGCCAGATTCTCTTCTTCTGTTTCCCCAAAAGTTAATCTATACCCAGATCTCCTCCACCCTCCTCATGGTTTAGGCTTCTGGAAACCACACCAAGCAGAGACTCAGCTCCAGGCCCCTTCTACTCTTCTCTCTGCCATGACCCTCCCTGTGACAATGAGCTCAAAGCCAGGCTGTATTTAGATGGAAGGTAAGGTAGAAGAAACAAGTAGGGAAAAAGTAAAAGGACAGAAGCTAAGACTTCAAACATACTATCCCTCTGCTTAAGGATTAAATAAAATAGCATGTGAAAGAACTTGTCGTGTTTCAAGGGCCTAACAAATGATGGTTATTTTTTCCCTCTTACCTGTTGGACACATTGCCTATATCAATTGTTTGAAATGAATCATATCCTGCCTTAGAATATCTATCATACTGGCAATTTACTCATATTTTTATTTTATTTTCAGTGTCTATATGTTATTCTCTCAAATAAAGTAAGCTCCTGAAGACCATGGTTCACATCTTAAATTAACTGAATCTAATAGAAGACTAGTCATACAGAAAATGCTTTAAAAATGGGTGCAGATCTAGCATCAGAAATCCAAAATCATATTTGCAAACATTTAAGGAAGATTCTTTATGGAAAAAATGAGGTTATTTTAAGATTATTCATAAGCATGTTTATGTCTAATTGTTAACCAACAGAGGAGTCACGTGGCCTTATGCAGACACCCTAGATATTCAAAGGAAAGATTTTTTCAATGCATCTTTTATTTTTTTTAAATCCTGCATCACAACCACCCAAGTGGAAATGTATTTCAAATTTTATGCTGGCCTGCTATTGAAAAATGCTCATTGAATCAATTTCCTGGAGCCTTGTCACTGATAAATAGAGTACATCACACATCTGATATTCTTGAGTCAAAAATATAGAACATGAGTGTATTTTGCTGAGAGAAGATGGCTTGTAGGAAACTGTCTTAGCATTCAAGACAGCACAAAGTTTGGCCTTTCAGGCTAAAGCTGCTGAGTGATCAGTTGAAGAGGGCTACAGGATAGATCCTAATGGGCTTTCTCAGTCTCATTCTAGGCCTGGTTGCCTGGCACCACCAGGAAACCTCGGCTGGTCCTGTGCATGGATGGATGTATTCACACTATAGGAACACATACTTTACCACTTCCTACCGGTGGGCTTTTGGTCACTGACTTCCCCTCTCTAAGCCTAAATTTGTTCATCTATCACTATAGAATGAGTATCTACCTCCCAGCAGTTTTATGAAGATTCCATGAGATGATGTATGATGAGGATGTCACATGGTATGGGGTACATATTGTATGCCCAGTAAATGATAGTAGTTGTTGTTGGATTTGCTGTTCCAAGGAGGAGGAGGCTAAGAAGAGATCACCAACTGGATGCCCTGGAGAGGGACAGCTCCACTATTCACACACAGGCTCACACCCTCTGCCGGCAGATCAACAGAGATGCCCCTTTGCTGGGACAGGAACATGCTAATGGCTTGAAGGAGCACTTTATGCATGGGGGCACTGAGGATTTAAATCAGAAGACCCCAGTTAGCGTCCCCATAGCCATGGGCCATGTCAACTAATTCCTCAAAGCCAAATCTGTGTAGAGCTTTTTGTAAACTGAGCACATCAAAAGAAACTTACCCTTTATTTTCAAAGTGAAGATGCTTTGGGTGGCAAGTAACAACACTGTTGGCCAAAATGGCTCAAACTATAAAGATGGATGAGTGGCACACCAGGCTGAGAATGTCCCAAGGCAGAGCAAGGAGCAGGGCAGCTCACGCTCTGCTCTTCCCTGCTGGGGCTCTCCTGGCACTGCCGTTCTCCATGCAGGGCCTTGATCATCACCAGTCTGCTGGCAAGATAGCTGCAGCAGCCGGCCTCCCATCTTCCCAGAACTGAGTCCAGGAAAGAGAGCAAGAGTTTGTTCCAGAAACTTTCAGAAGAGGAAAAATGGAAGCTTTTTATACAGAGGTTGACAATTAATTTATTTCACGATACTGGCCTCAATTTGTTCTCATGATTCTTCTGAATCAATTCCTGTGGCTTATTGAATGCCAGGTGATGGCTTCATCCTGGGTCCCAGGTCCACCCCTCAATCAATAGCGGGTGCAGTAGGGATGGAATAATCTAATTAGCTTGAACTAAAGAGAGTCTGTCTCTGGAACTCAAGTCAATACCCTAAACTTTAGGGCTGCCTTTGCAAGAAGGAAGGAGTGAGATGGATATTGGAAAGACAACCAGTGCCCACCACTCTGCTGATATTCAACTCACCATCTCCTTCAATTCAAGCAAACAATTACAAAACATCTGCTATGTGCCAGGCATGGTGCAAGATGCCAGGAAATTGCAAGATGCACGGTGTTGTTGACAGGAATAAATGAGCCGACTTATGCAAAGTGCCTATTGCAGCACTCAGCTCCTAACACTTGCTCAGTATTATCTTCATTGAAATGAATAATGCATGAGTGATCCCTGCCATCCAGGAGGGAAAGACTCAAACTAATAAATTATAACAGTGTGCACAGAGTGACAAGAGTAAGCCTGCAGGTGGCACAAAGGATAGAGATCACAAGAGGAGGGCACAAGAGGCCCAACCCCACAAGAAGCTATAGCCCAGTGGTTCTTAACCTTGACTTCACATTCGATTCACCTGAGAAGCTTTTAAAACTCCCCATACCAATTAAGTCAGAATCCCTTGGGGATGTGACCCAGCACCAGGCATCAGGTTGTCATTTTAAGGGTCTCCAAATGATTAAAATGTGTAGCCAAGTCTAAAAACCACCATATTTTAGGCTACTGAGGACATAAACACCTACATGCAAACCATTAGCTAACAATGCCAGGTTGTGAGGGGTATGTTAAAATGAACGTTCCAAGGCTCAGGGTGGGGAGGGGGCAGGCTCCAGGCAGGGAGAGGGTATGCAGGGAAGGGGACTCAGGGATAAAGGGAGACACATGGTGGGCAGAGGGGGATCATGGAGGGTTTCCATGAGCATCAGGAAACAGGAGGCTTATGGGGTCTTGAAGACCTGTGAGATTTGCCTAATCTAAGCTATTTAGGGGTGGTGTCTCAGTGTAAAGAGGAATGGGTTTAAGCAAAGACATATGGGCAGACGTGGAAGGTTTATGGATCTAGATTCAAACAGGAGAGAGAGAACTGTAATTTCAACAGAAAAAATCTTTTTAAAAATTATAAATATGGGGATTGGAGTAACATAGGATTAGTGGGTAAGAACTCTAAAGAGAACTCTAAAGAAAATAGGAATAAAATATGTAAGGAGCATCCAACTACCCTCAGGGCTGAAGTAGAGCACCCCAGAAAAAGCCAGCCCACCCCCAAGCTGAGGTCTAGACTTGGTTGGCACCGCGTAACTTGAAGAATAGCAGAGAAGTTGCAGGGGTGTCGTGTGTTGGAAATCTGGCCTGTAGGGAGCCAGAGAAGACTTTCACAGAAGGTGTCTCACAGGAGCACACTCTGTTAGCAACTGCTGGCAGCAAAGAGGGCTGGGGAAGCTGCTGGCCAGGTGTTGCAAGAGCCAGGCATTGGGGAAGCTGAAGGAGCCACCAAGAGAGCCCAGGAGAACCTGGAGGCAAAATCCAGAAGTGTGTCCTAGGAGTAAATAGAGGCCCAGAGAGCTTATGAAACCTTCCCAGGAAACTAGCAAAGTTAGATTTCAACCCAGGCCCATCTTTTCTCTGTGTTGTTGTTCTTCTGTGAACAAATAATAGTACAAGATCCAGGCTGGGAAGGTTGCTCAGAGATGGAAGGAGCCTGTGCTCAGTAAAGTCAGTGAGGAAGGTCTCCTAGGGGAGGCGAGGCTTCAAATGGACCTCAGAGATCCGATTTGGAAAAACAGGGAGAAAAGAGGAGGGAGTGGATTCCAAGCTGGCATTGCAACACAAGCACTTGGAACACTTGCCCACGGGTAAAAGCGGACCTGAGCTCCCACAGGACTCAGCACAACCAGGAGGGAGTATGACTGAAAACAGAAAGCAGGCAATGAGAAGAAAGCCAAAGACAGAAGCACAGGAATCAGGGAAGTCCTCTTATGTCAAAGGCCTTGAATTTAAGCACATGTGAAATCAACACATTGTGAGAAAGCCAGAGCTCATAAATGCAGCATTTCTAGTACTCTTCAGTCGCATGCCAAGCTCTCAGTGGAATGTAGGGAAGCAAACGCCAGCTTTGAGTTCAGACCAGAACTAGAGCTCCAGCTCCAGTGTTTAGCTCTATGTACTGGGGCAAGTACCTTAACGTTTTTGAGTCTCAGGGCTCTGCACCCGCCAGGTGAAAACAATGCCACCACATCCTTGCAGGCTTATTCAGATGAAGTCCCTGGCAGAAAGACTGGCACAAGGCAGACCTGGAGTTTAATCAATGAGAGCTCCCTTCTCCCTATTTTCACTCACTAGAGCCCTCCAGTCTCCTAAGACAGTGTGCCCTTGAAAATAACCTTTAAAATTCAGAAATGCCAGGATTCCTAAATCTGATGCTGCCAGGGAATGCCAGGGTATTAGCAGCATATAACTTCTTACTGAGATTCTGGCTACTGTGTTCATCACTCAGAAGGAAAAGCTCAGGTTCAGGGAAGAGTCAAGGCGTCTTCAGCTGCGTGGCCAAGTGGTGCCTTGAGGTGCTATTTGCTGCCCAATCTCCACAGGGCAAATGACGCTGTTTGTTTTTTCAGGAGGAGAAGTCACCAAACCGCGGTTTGCTCAGTTCTTTCATGGAAGCCTGGCCAGTCTCACTATCCGCCCTGGCAAAATGGAAAGCCAGAAGGTGATCTCCTGCCTGCAGGCCTGCAAGGAAGGGCTGGATATTAATTCCTTGGAAAGCCTTGGCCAAGGAATAAAGGTAAGGCAGGAGCTGGCATCACCCCCAACAAGACAGTGATTCACGATGCGCAGCCTGCTCAGTGCCAGCATGCGCCGGGAAATGGAGCGCGTGCTGGAACGTTACACAGAAATGAGTCCATGGCAAAGGTGCGGCCACGAGATGGGGGGTCCGGGGGGAGATTTGTAACCATGACTTCCACAATGGACTTCCGCTGCCATCTTCTGAAACTCCTAGATCAAGCCCTTGTGTATAGTCAGTCCACTACACAAAAGCAGGCACATGTTCAATATCCACCTGGTTGTATTTCATTTGTGCATTAGTTGGCTGCTCTGTTGTTTATTTGGCTAAAGGAACTGAAGGATGCAAGGAAGCATTTCAAAAGCCTAAAAAGTAAACAAAAACTTAGGACCTTGTAAAATACAAATTAAAAAGGAAAGTGAAAACCTGGCTGGGGTAGAATTAGAAAGCAGGTATGGAGGTCATTCTGTCTTACATTGTTGCTTCAAGGCCCAAGAAACATGGGCCGGCGTGGTGGCTCATGGCTCACACCTGTAATCCCAGCACTTTGGGAGGCTAAGGCAGGTGGATCACAAAGTCAGGAGTTCGAGACCAGCCTGACCAACATGGTGAAACCTCATCTGCACTAAAAATACAAAAATTAGCCAGGCGTGGTGGCATGCACCTGTAATCCCAGGAGGTGGAGGTTGCAGTGAGCCAAGATTGCACCACTGCACTCGAGCCTGGGCAATAGAGCGAGACTCTGTCATTAAAAAAAAAGAAGAAAAAAAAAAACATGAACAGTTCATGATTTGTATTGTTTATACAAAACAATTTTTTTGCATGATTTGTATTGTTTATGCAAAATAGAAATATTCAAGTGATCTCAGAGAAGCAAAGCTTCTTCTGACTAAAGCTTCTGTCATTCTCTCATTTGAGAGAAGCTCCTCCTGATGGGGGCAGGAGGGATGTGACTGACTATGGCCTCAGCAAGCACCCCGACAGCCAGGGTCACTTTCTAACCTCACCTGGACTTTCAGAGCGAGCACATGTTGGTGCCGGCCCACGAGGTCCTGAATAAAGAGCAGAGCCAGTATCACTGTAGCTCCCACTCAATCATAGTGGACCCCAGTGTGAAAAGACAGTCCCTTGGCCTCCTCTGGAAGTTGGAACAGACCAGCCCATGCCTCCTGGAGCACAGGACAGCCCCATGAAGCCCCAGCAGCTGTGAGGATTTCTGTCCTTGGTCATTTCTCCAGAGAATGTGACAAAAGCAGAGGTTTCTCAGCTGGCCTAACATCCCTGACCCAGCACTGCCCATGGGCAGCTCTGCCCTGCCCTGGGCCTGCCTCTCCTGGACAGGGAGTCACCACTCCAACAGAAATTTCCAGATCAGTAGCCTACTGCTAGTCACACTCTGGTGCTGGGTACCCTTGGAAAAGCTGGTGGTCTGAGAATATTCTTTAAATTGCAGCCACTTCCATAAGCATTCCATGGACATGCTAGTATTCTGTTATGGGCTGGGTTCTGAGATGTGAAAAGAAATGGCCTGAGGAACTCTGTGACCCAAGCAGACATTTGTAATCCAGTCGATGACTACTACAATGATTATGAACACTAACATTTACTGAGGGTCTCCCAAGTGCCAGACACTATTTGTTCTAAACGTTTTATGGGTATTGATTCCCAGAACACTCTCATGACAAAGGTACCGTAAATACTCCCATTTTGTACATGAGGAATGAAAGACTGAAGGAGGTGGGAACTTGCATAAGATCCCAGAGTTAGTGATGAGTAGATTCAGTCCCACTCCAGAGATCCAGAACCTTGGAGAATGGCAGTCCGGGAAGGCTCCTTGGATGAGGAAATGAGGCCTGAGTAGAATGTTTAAGAATAGGTAGGAACCAGCTAGGAAAAAGGCAGGGGTGGAGAGGGGATGGGAAAGAGGGAAGTCATTCCAGGCAGATCCAAAAGTGTGAGTGATGAGAGAGGGCTGAGGAATAGCACAGTATTCACTAGAACTTCAACAAAGCCAGTGTTATGAGTCCCAAACTGAAAGAAGAAAAAGGTGGAAGGTGCCAGAGAGGTAGGCAGAGGCCACATCAGAGGCCACCTATTAACCATGTTTAGGTGTTTATGTTTTTTTGTTGTTGTTGTTGTTTTCTGTCAACAATGGGGAGCCACTGAAGGCTCAGGCAAGGGAGCATGATCTCAGCATATGTGGGGTTTAGGATGGAGACTGGGGAAGATGGGAGGAGTAAAAAGTCATGGCAAGGCAAGATTGACTTTCCAGAACAACATTTAGCATGGATTAGATACACATAGTTGCTCTCAATAGCTAATCACTTGTCATTGGCACAAGCTCAAAAGACCATCTCATATGGGAAAGGCCAGTCTTGACGTACTGTTTGTGTTGCTTCCTTAGAGTTTTGTCAACCCAGTGACAAAAGACCATCTCATATGGGAAAGGCCAGTCTTGACGTACTGTTGGTGTTGCTTCCTTAGAGTTTTGTCAACCCAGTGATGCAAAAATCTATCCTCCTAGTGTCTTCTCTTTTTCTGATTCTAAATTTACTCTTTGCATCTGCGTAGATCTTCTCTGCTCTGAACTGTTCCAGGCAGGCACAGTTTCAGGGTACTGGGCACCGTAGAGCAAAAACACAAAGATGCTGGGCTCAAAAGTCATGCCTTTTTAAAATTATAAATTTAAGAACCATAGCAATTTCTACAGAGTTGTCATAGCCTATGAAAAGAAGAGGTGCTAAAATAAGTGGCACAAAAAACTGTGGGGACTGAGGAGGCTAATCTGACTTTTCAAGATACTCCCCGTTTATAACCAAGTCACTGCAAATGATCCTCTTCCATTCCTAGGGCGTGGCTGGTAAGAACTAGAGCACCGTTTGAGAAGTTAATAAGATGCCCAATTTACAGAGCACCCACTGGGGGCTATTTTATGTTCATTATCCCTACTTCTCACAACAAATTAAATACTATGACCCCATTTCAAAACTAAGGGGACTGGGGCTCAGGGATTTGTCCAAAATCAGTTCATGCTCTTTCCTCCATACCAGCAACTCAGATTAGAAGAGAGTCTTGCAAATCATTAAAACAAATGTCCTTCCTTTCCTGCCTCCCTTTACCCCTCATGTCATTTCTGAATAATGACTATTACTTTATTTGCCAGTTACTGCCCTCCTCCCACCTCTCTGGCTGGTCGAGGGAAGTGAGGCCCTTTTGTGATTAAGGAAATTCTCTGTCTGCTCACAGGGACCAGCCCATGTTTCTTGCTTTACCTGTCTTCTGAATCATACCTATTTATGAATATTTCTCCAGCATGTCTAGAGTCCTAAAATGGTTTAGTGGCTGCTGTACTGTATCCATACAAGATACTGTGGAATCACCACATTCCTGAGTAATACTCTGTTCTGATTTACATAGCACAACCCCTGCCAATTTGTCATCTCCATCATGTGGAAGAGTGGGAAAGAGCAAGAACTTCAGAACTAGACACTCCTAGGTTCAGATCACTGCAGGAGGAAAAAGGTTGAAGGTGCCAGAGAGTTAGGCAGAGGCCACATCAGAGGCTACCTAGTAATCATGTTTAAATGTTTATGTCTTTTTCTGTCAACTGATTATTTATTACCTGGGTTACCTTGGGCAAGACACATTAATCCTTTAAGCCCAAATCTCTTGTGTATAAAATATTATTTATCTTGTAGTGATGTTGTAAGAATTTAATTATATATCTAAATATACATTTATCTATATATACTATATATTTTATATATTTAAATATATATTATATATTTTAGTATATATATAATATATCCTAGCAAACCTAATAGACTCTTAACAAATCACAGTTCCCTTTTGTGACAGAAGAACTTCTAAAGTGGCAAATCTTCATCTGGCCCCACTCACAGAAATGGTTCAGCTGAATCTGTAAGTCAGAAAAATCAGAGTCCAAATTTTGACTCTGTTATTTACTTAATATGGACTATGGGCAGGCAGGTGTCAGAGGTAGCAGCAGGGTTCCTGTCAGGTCATAGCCAGCCTGCTGTCAAGGATCAGGCCAGAGCTTTGATCAGGGACTTCCCTGATGGTCCAGCCTGCTGGGGTGCTAGAGATGCCAGTCAAACCTCTAAGAAAAGCCCCTAATAAGAAGACCATTCTGTAAGGGCTGTCTAGCACCTTCTTGGCTCAGCGAAGGGCTATAGTCACTGCACAGATACCCAAGGGCGAGTGAGCAATGTCACCCTTTGCTGGGGCCCCTAGCACGCCACCATCTCCTGCCCTGGTACAGATGCAAGTACAAACAGGTCCCCTGTTCAATCAGACACCCACTCACAGAGCTGGGAATACCACAGTTAAAAAAAAAAAAAACACCCAAAACCTGCTCTGGAGGTTTTATTGACCCTGCAAGAACTATGCTGCTGGCTAGGCCAGTGCCCACCTTCATGCTCTGTGGCAGATCTCCCAATGCTGTGGCACAGACCAAGGTATTAACTGGAGATCCAACACACTCTCTCTCCTGGTCTCTCTCCATGTGGCTGCAGAGGGATTGTGCCCTCTGCTGACTGCCACAGGATACTGTTTATCCGTCCCTCTAGAAGAACTTCTTGATTTTCCTATGCAGCCCTCATGTGAGGCTCAGAGGCCAACCTCCACTGCAGACCTGTCATCTACCTCATGCTTTTCATGTGCTAGACCCTGCAGTGATGCTGAGGAAGTCAGTAGCCCCTGCCCTTGAGGTGCTCACCATCTGCTGGAGGATGCAGACAGATGGATACACAGATAGTAACAGCACAAGACTGCTACAGGAGGATGGTGCAGAGGACGAGGCTGGAGAAGAGGAGCAGAAAAACCTTTTAAAACATAGATGGCATTTGTAGAACAAGGACCTTGAGTCTTCTCAAATCTGAAACTGATGACTTGCGAATACTTCAGAACTAATCATGACTCACTAGCGTGAGGCAGCTCCAGGGATAAGCACTCTAAGCTGGTGAGGCCTTCCAGGCAAGAGAGATGCCAACTCAGACACTGACTATGGCATCAACCATGCATATGCCTGGGGGCTCCAGGATCTAGCACCAGAGAGCGGTGCTCATGGCCAGATGTCAGGCTCAGAGAGACAGCGCTCCGCAGGACTTGGAAGGACAGAAGAGAATTGTGTCATAAGGACACAAGAGCAGTGAAGGCTGGGGCACAAAGACTCAGTGCTGGCATAATTACAATAGTAAGAATGATCATCCAAACTATCATATATTTAAAATCTTGTAAGTGCTAGAAACTTTATATATATATACACAAGTAGATATTAATTTCACCATTATTTAAATGAGGAAATGAAGTCTCAGAGGGGAAAGGAAATACTCCAAAGTGGTACTTTGTACTAGAACTGGAATATTACAGTCCACAAAGTCCATGCTCTTTTAAAGATGCCTTATGACCTTGGGGAAGTGAGAATCAGGCCTGGGAAGTGCTAAATTTTCCCAAACAGGCTAAGCTGTTACAGTAGCATATGATCCCCAAACCTCAAACCTCACTGGCTTAACATGACAAGTTTAGTTTTCTCCTATACTCAGCTAGGGAGGTGGGGTGGGGTTTCTGCATAGAATGCTGCAAGCCACTGAAGTGGAGGAAAAAAAGAGGCTCGAGCATCTTACAGGGTTTTTCACTGCCTCAGCTCAGAAGTGTGACACCTCACTTCCTCTCCTGCCCATTGGCCAGAGGTAGTCAATGTGACTCTGGCCACCTGTGGCACAAGGTGGCTGAGAAGTGTAGCCTCCACAGTGCCCAGGAAGGAAAGGAGAACAGGGTTTGGTGAGTACTGATAATGACTCCCACAGAGCTTCACTAAAAAGACAAAAGAAAGAAGTCCCTTTGGGGAGTGACAGGAGATGACAGTGAGTACAATGTAGGCTGGAGACCCTTCACTCATTCATCTTACAGGGTCTTTTAGAACACTAAGGCTAAGTTCTGGGATTCAGGGATAAGAGGCTCATTCAGAGGTAAGAGGATACAATCTCTGTGCTCATGGGCTACTGTCCACTGTACTATATAGTGGTGTTACCATTTTGTAAGTGCTATAGGAGAAAGGCACCAAAGCCCAGTGGGAACCAAAATGAGAGAAGCTGGGAGGCCTTATGAGTAGGTAACAATGAAACACTCGTGATGATTGAAGGTGACAAAGATTGAGCTATCAATCCTATTGGCTAGGGGACACCATGCAAGGGATTTAGGTGGTTCAGTGTCACCAGTAGTGCTCATGAGACATCCAACTCCTGTTTCAGTCCAGACACAGAACAGAACACCCTTATAAAGACATTCAAGTCAGATCAGGGAAAAGTTAATATACATTTTTCCTTAAACCTATGAAAAGATATACTCAGCTCCTCATACCAAGAAAAATACACATTAAAACTACACTAAGATGGCATTTATCATTTATCAGATTGGTAAAAGTCCTGACATCTGATGGCATACTGTGTTGCTAAGGAACTGAGAGAAGCTGCATTCATTCCCTGGTGGAAGGAGTATGCATTGATATAATCTCTAGCAATGGAGAAGTTGGCAGCATTTATCCAAGTTAAAAGTGCATATACTCTTTGACCTAGCAATTTCACTTGTAGTGATGTATCCTACAGATGTGTTTGCACAAGATTATTTATTCTAACATTGTCAGTAAAAGTTTAGAAATAACCCAAATGTCCATATTAGGAAACTGGTTTTAAAGATTACAGTTTATCTATACAATGGAATACTTATACAGCTACTAAAAAAGAATAAGGAAGCTTGTCATGTATTGATACAGAAAAAGCTCCAAGATATGAGCCAAGTAAAAAAATAAAGTGTGATACATTATGTAATGAGATAGTTTTGATATAAGAAAGAAGAAAAATGGAAATCTATATTCACTGATTATATATTTATAAGAATGAGTATAACTGTCAGGATAAGCTAAGTTATACTACAGTAACAAATTATTTAATACTAAGTGGCTTATACAACAACATTTTATTTATTGCTCATGCTTCATGTCCATTATAGATTGGCTGCAGCTCTGATCCATACCTCCCTCACTGTGAGATGCAAGCTGATGGACCAGCCCCTAATGGAATGTTGCCAGTTTCATGGCAGAGAGAAAGGGATGTTGCAAACCATGAACTGGTTATTAAATCTTCCATAGGGTATGAATCAAACAATATTTCTGCCCACATTTAGCTGACCAAGCAAGTAACATGACCACTGCTGAGTGCAACAGGGCAAAAATGTATATCCTGCAGGGAAGGGTACTATAAGTCATATGATCAAGCTTATTAACAATAGGGCAGACATGTATAAGTCTCTCATGGGAGGGGAAGCAACTAATTGTGAACAATAATGCAATTTACCACTAAGAAACTAACATAATAATGAGTACTTGTGGGATGTGACTGTGGAAACTGAGTGGATGGGAGATAGAAATAAGATAGCTACTTTTCACCTAGCACATGTGTACATTTGAATCATGTGAATATATTAACTATTCAAAAGAGTAAATAATTTTAAGTTAGGTAGCTACTTAAAAAAGATCCATGTCTCCCTTTCCTGTGCCATGAGCATTCAATATATAATCTGAATTCACAGATATGTTTCTGATATTTTATCGATAGCATTTCCTAATAATTCTTGCTCAGAAGTGTGTCAAAGTCAGTAATTCAGGGCAGTACAAAGGCAGTTTTCCCTGCCTCATTCCAAGAAGAGTAACTGCTGTGGGGACATGGAGAGGGCAAGAGTCTATGTCCAGCTTGAGTACCCACGTGACTCAGTGGGGAGAATCGCCACTACATGGCCTTTAGCAAGTGTGGCATACCAGGGACTTGGGATGAAATGGATAGATAACAGGGCTGCTGGCAGATGTGTAAGCAGCAGGTGAGTGCAACTCATGGGAAACCAGTGTGTAGCCCTCGAAAAGCAAGACAAAAAAATAGATCTGAGAGAGAAAGAAAACCATTAACTGGAAAATGAGCTTGAAGGTTGGAAGCTAAGAAGATAGGGCGTGGGTCAGAAAATGGAGTGCAAGATGAATTTGGGGAGCAGTTCAAGGCCAAAGACAAAGACAGCAAAAGGAGTCAACACGCAAGTTCTGAATGGTCCAGACCACCCGGTAGCACAGAGCATGGGCCACTGTTCACCAAGGGCTGGGCTGTGAGAGCACCATGGCTGGGTTTTCAATATTCAATCCTGTGGCTCAGACCGATAATACCAGGCACAGTTCCTGGAGAGACTTCATAGGAGAGGGCCACAAAGCCCACCAGAGAGTAGGAGGAACTGCTTGAGAGTTTAAACACTATCATTTGTACACACAAATGAGTCACTGGCAGATGCTCTAGAGGTGTTTATGGTGACCTTTGGTGCCCTGTGTGGACAGGAAGTGCTCCCATAAAACCATGTACATCCTGACCATTCTCTTCCATGATGCTCACTTTTGTCTTCCAGTATCACTTCAACCCCTCGCAGTCCATCCTGGTGATGGAAGGTGATGACATTGGGAACATTAACCGTGCTCTCCAGAAAGTCTCCTACATCAACTCCAGGCAGTTCCCGACAGCGGGTGTGCGGCGCCTCAAAGTCTCCTCCAAAGTCCAGTGAGTGGACACTGATCAGCCTGGGGCCAACTGAGGCAGCAGGGTTGGTCCCTTGGGAATGTTCCCTTGCAAAACAGGATTTGCCTTTCTTCAGCTGTCCTCAACTTCTGCTGTTCCTATGAGGATGCCTCAATGGATCTGTGTTCTTGTTTTCTTCTTAAGCAAGATGTTCTGTTGTTTTACCACCTTGAATCCACCTTTCTCTATTTTACCCTGTTTCTTATCTAATGCCTTACTGCTTTCTATAAATTCTCAGAGAGCTGGGAATTTGAAGTGATCTGGATATGGGTTTGAAGTGTTCTGACTTAAGGGCACAGTGCCTGGTACATAGGAAGTGCTTGACAAATGTTTATTAAATTGAATTAAATTAACCAACCCAGCTATGTAGAGTTCCTAAATCCCACAGGTATGCCAGAAAAACAGAAGGCATGGTTCTTGTTTCCAGAGATCAGAGTTAAATTAGAGGATTACTGAAGCCTTTGGATAACTCACTCACTGGCCTATCAAATCACTTCTCAGCCACAGTGGCTACCTTGGAGGGCTGCTAGGAGGGGGATCCCAGGAAAATTCCTGGAAGGTGGAGGTGCAGTCATGCGGCACCTAGAGTTGGGAGAAGGACTCAGAAAGAGAGGAACAAGGATGGGAAGGATGGGTCTGCTGACTGCCACATTGATGGAGCCTGAGACAGGTGCCAGAAAAAAGCCTGTAGATGGTGGTTACATTCAATAGTTCTGGAACAATGGAGGAGTGCTCCACCATTACAGGCTTAGGGGTAGGAAGCAGGTACCTCCAGGTCAGTGCCACATTAGAGGGAAGATGAGAGAACAAACTGGCCTATGTCCTGCTGAGACCAGCCTTCTGCAAACTGAAGAAAGGTGAGGAGTGCTGTGGGGCTGGCCTGGCACAAGCAGGAGAAAACTGGGAAGAGGAGGAGGCCACCACAGCTCCCACATTTCACCCACCCACAGAAGAGGATAGAGTAGCTCAGCATGGAATCCATCCAGACTATCCTTTCCTCGGGAACTGTCCCAAGGCATGGAAGGTGATGGCTGTCACCAGCTGAACCCCACCCCCAGAGCATCTGCCTGGCTCTGGGGTCCCCCATTTTAACCTACATCTAGATGACCAGGGGAGAGGGCTAATGACATAATGCCCCCATGAGGTCTGACGAGAGGTTCAAATCAACCACTGTTTACTGAGCTCAAACCATGATGCAAGCTCTGGTCAGCTTCTTTTCTATACATGTCTGCATTTAATCCTTTACTGTAGGACAAAATTATTGTTATCCCCATTGTATAGATGAAGAAACTGAGGTTCACAGGAGTTGAGTGCCTTGTCCACATTTACCCAGCCCAGAAGTGTCAGAACCAGGCCATGGATCCTTGTCTGTCTCAGACCTCACTCTTGTGGCCACACCATTTCTGCCTCCCAGATAATTGTGTGGCAGTGTATCAGGAGAAAGGAGGGTGAATATGATAGCACTTTGCTCTTACACCTAGAAAAGGCACACGTGTGTGATATCCACATAGAGTCATATCATATAAGCTGACGCAGGAGAGTTTAGCCCTGGGGTCTCAATTAGTAAGATGGCTGTAACCGACCAGGTAGACAACAATTTGCCTACCAAATACTAAAGCATGTAACAAGCAGTTGCTATCTAATTAATGTTGCCATTGATCACTTTGTTAAAGGATAATGAAAGGTTTCATGGTTATGTGTTGCGCGTATAGAAAATTCCCATTTCTCTCAGTAGCCAATTTTTCAAGTCCCTAGATCACTAGTGGTTTTGATTATAATGTGTCTTTAAATTTGAATGTCTGTTGACATCCTCAGAGACTCTTAGGCAGTCAGGATGCCTGGTTAAGAACTGGAGGTGGCAACCCCTTATTCCTGGCTGTATGACAGATGGTTTAATTGCTTGCTCGTCAGTGCCATGACCGAGACTGTTTTCCCAGGTGCTTTGGGGAAGACGTATGCATCAGTATCCCCGAGGTAGACGCCTATGTGATGGTCCTGCAGGCCATCGAGCCCCGGATCACCCTCCGGGGCACAGACCACTTCTGGAGACCTGCTGCTCAGTTTGAAAGTGCCAGGGGAGTGACCCTCTTTCCCGATATCAAGATTGTGAGCACCTTCGCCAAAACTGAGGCCCCCGGGGATGTGAAAACCACAGGTACAGGTGCATTTGAGTTTGTGGGGAGGGTGGACCTTAATTTTTTTACAGCCATGAAAACATACTTCAGAACAACAGCATTGTTCATGTAATGTATACATGGCATAAATGTATACATGGCAGCATAATGTTCAGCAAAACAGGCAAAGAGCTATAAACAAACGAAAAGAATATGAGGGGAATGAATGGTTTAGCAATAAGGGATATGAGGTTGGAGGGAATGCATTTGTGCTAAATGGTAAGTGAACAAAATGCAAGACACAAAGTTACATAGTACTTACAGATAGAATGATCTCAACCATTTAAGAAAAAAAAAAAATAGAAAAATGCCAAGAAGGACACACACCCTATGCTAACAGGGTTATTCTATGCTAACGGTTATTCTTTGAGAAGCATAGTGAGAGCCAATTTGTTTCTGCTTCCCTTCCCTTTCTGTAATTTCAAAAATGTTCTATAGTGGGCATATATTATTTTGATAATCAGAAGAAAAGCTAAAGACATATAAAGAAAAAATATAGCTGCATCTTTATATATACACCATAAAAGTTAGGTCTCATTCAGTAATATTACTGTAAGCTCTCAGAAAACTTTTAAGTTGTTATTTCCAACAACTTCGTTATTGGAAAGGTTTTTCAGTGAAAGAGGAGTAATTTGAATTATCTACCAAAGGGAAACAGTTACACTGAAAGCTATAGTATATGCTGCGGGAGGGGAGGAGAAGAGAAGGAAGGAAACCGGGAAAGGAGCAAGGGAGGGAGGGAAGAAAACTTCCCTTTTGTTACTCTGAGGGATGGGGGAAATATAAATTTAAGAAGTGTCCTTTGCTGCCTCTTCCAAGAGAGTATTTTCAACTCTCCCCTCCCCCTCCAAAAGCCACTGCTAATGATGTGCTGGTGCCTCTGGTCCTGAGTCCCCGAAGAGCTGCTGTTCTAATAATCCTAACTACCTATTGACTTAAACCACCCTGGTCCCTAGTGAACGGGGTACTCAAGAGACAGCCCTTCTAGCTCATAAAAAATAGATGGTGTTTTACCACCTGTCCGGGCAGGGCAGTTCCCTAGTCACAGGCCAACGTGCATTAGGTTGTGTGATCGTCCCTCTTCTCCTGTTCTCATTTGTGGCTAAAATCAAGACAGAAATAAAGAAGAGCCTCTGACTTCAGTGGTTGCGGGCCATGACCCAAGTGTCTGGATTTGCTACATCTGACACCAGCAAACAGGCAATGCAGGGAAGAGCAATTATCTGGGTTCACATTTCATCTTCTGTTTATGAGAGGTACAGGCAGAGCACATAGTCAAGTGTCCAAAGGCTATTATTAGTGCCTTTAAATTTTTACTCCTATTGTTGTTGGAATGGTCATTATTATGGATATCTTAAACAAGTAGGATAATGACATTTGCCACCAGGCCTCAGTGACTGGCTTCAGCATCATCTGCTGCCCCCATTGACACTCTTTATGCTGTCAATACCAAAGACAGGAGGTTCCCCCAACATGCACACACACACACACACACACCCGTCCCTCACGCTCTGTTAGTTCACACTTCTGCTCTGCTCTCCGGCTGGAAGGTCCCTTTCCTTCCCTATCCCTTGATTCCTGGCAAATAACTCTGCCTTCAGCACCTCCCCAAGTAGGCTCTCCCACCACCACCATTCTGACACTCCCAACTGCTGGTGCTTCCCTCAGCACACACTTTTTAGCCCTTGGTGATGATTTCCTGTTTATTAAACCAGACCAGGAGACCCCGAGGGCTCATCCATGGCCGATTTGCCTCTGGGTCCCTGAACCCAGCACACTCCCTTCTACACAGTGGGAATCCAGGAAACTGCAGGTGGAAGATAATACCCATGGTGAGAGAGCCATGAGAAAATGGCAGCCGTGACATACTCCCTACCTCAGGGAGCTCTCAGACAGCCACAGTGGGAGGTAGGAACAAGGGCGATATGACCAGACCTGACAAGAAGTCAACAAAAAGCCTGGAAACTGTGAGAAGGCCATTTGAAATAAAGATGCACATACAGCATTGCTAATTATAGACCCTGTCTTAAGCGTATGTTATTGTGCTTTTAGATTTAGCTGATTATACATGAAACCATTGTGATTGACAAGTATTTAAAAATTAAGATAAAGAAATTATGTATAATAATATATAATATATACCTAGTGAGAGCAAAAATATATTTGGTATCATTTAAAAACTTAAAAGATAATTATTTAAAATAGTCCATCTTTAGTGAATTTTTTAAATTTCTATTTTAATAAATGTTTTATAACACACAAAGTATACTTAGTCCACTTTATACATAAATAAATATACTTATTTAAATTATCTCTCTTCACAAGTTTTTCAGTAAAGGAGTGCAAGATCAAAACCACTTGAAGACAAGTAGCCTATGATCAGTGAGATGGGGATAGTAATAGTACTCCCTTTAATGTCTATTAGGATTATATTTCCACATGCCTGGCACATGGCACATACTTCATAAATACCAATCACCTTCTTAAGATGGCATTTTAATTTAGGACTGCCAAACTCTGCCCGGCATTCAAACACTCACACATTTCTTTGGGAAATTTGGAGTCATACAATTAGGCAAGAACAACTTGACTGACCAACATGCTAATGTGCTCCAAGGGGAGCACATTAATTATATTAATTTATCAAATATTGATTATTGCTTATATCATATTGACTTGATTATTAATTAATGATTCAGCTCCATTTGAGCAAGGTTTAGTAATAACTACTCCATGCTCGTTCCTGGGTTAGACACTAAGGATTCAATCATAAAAAGATAGTGCTTCTGCCCTTCAGAATCTCAGGTGGTTGGGGAGACAGACACATTAGGACCACATGGAGAAAGCTATGAGAGCATGGTGGAAGGCCACTTATCTCTCCCCAAATGAGAGCTATTGCTTATTGAGCACCTACAATGTGCATTGGACACTGTTTTCAATCATCTCAAGACCCTTGCCTTCCTTACAGATGAGGAAACTGAGTGGTAGGCAGTTCCTCTAACACATGCAGCTTCTCAGTGGCAGAGCTGGTATTCAAATCACATCTTTTGGCTACAGTATTCATGCTCTTCCCACTAATTCATGCTATGCAACCTCAGGGCCGCCTGGACATCTGAGCAGTCGATGTGGTATTTGGGATCACACAGACACTGCTCCCGACCCAGCCTTAACCTGGGGTGCAATAACAGAGGAGGAAGATGATTAGCAAGGACTGTTTTCTGAGCTGTCCTTCATGCCTGCGTTTCCGTGTCTGTCTTCCTACAGCCCCCAAATCAGAAGTCTTAGAGGAAATGCTTCATAACTTAGATTTCTGTGATATTTTGGTGATTGGAGGGGACTTGGACCCAAGGCAGGAGTGCTTAGAGCTCAACCACAGTGAGCTCCACCAACGACACCTGGACGCCACTAATTCTACTGCAGGCTACTCCATCTACGGTAAGGCCACACTCAGCCCCCTTTGCCCCAAGGGTGTCCTCTTAGAATGTCCTTGTCCAGGGAGACATGAGTGAGACTGCACCTGTGAAGGAGCACTGTGAAGCTCCAGGGATCAGTTGGAGATCCTTGGCCTCAAGCATGGATTTCTAGACCCTCCTCTGGCAAGTTACTTAAGCATCTTGGGGACCAGTCCCACATTCCCACTCCTGGGGAATTCTTCTGTAGAAGCTGGGTGGATGCCTTCTCTTACAATGTTTGATTTCAGCAACTGTTACAGCAACATCTGGAAGATTGAGGCAGTCTGTATGGAAAGCTTGTGCATCAGTGTAATTTTGGCCCCTTAGAGTTTCTGCACATTGTCTGCCCAACATATCTTGAGCTCTTACCCTCAACAAATTTACAAGACCCGCGAGGTCTTGTGCCACAAGCCCCAGCCTGTCTCCTCTCTTCTCTTCCTCCTCCTTTTCTGCCTTCTGATGACAAGTGTGGTCTCTTGGCACAGGTGTGGGCTCCATGAGCCGTTATGAGCAGGTGCTACATCACATCCGCTACCGCAACTGGCGTCCAGCTTCCCTTGAGGCCCGGCGTTTCCGGATTAAGTGCTCAGAACTCAATGGGCGCTACACTAGCAATGAGTTCAACTTGGAGGTGAGTGGGTCCTGCCATTGTTAGGGAAGCCAAGGCTCACCCATTCCCTCATCATTCATTCAGAACTGCTGTAACTGGCTCACCTGCCACTCCTGGGTCAATAGCACCTCTTCCCACTCTTCCCAGGTCAGCGTCCTTCATGAAGACAGAGTCTCAGATAAGGAGCATGTCAACCACCTGATTGTGCAGCCTCCCTTCCTCCAGTCTGTCCATCATCCTGAGTCCCGGAGTAGCATCCGGCGCAGTTCAGGTAGGGTGCCCAAGAAGAGGGACCCTCAGGACACAGGTGGTCATTGTGACTCAAGACTATCTACTCAACAGTTATGTTGCAGCAAACATAGGTGCCCAGAACTGAGGGAGGGAACCCAGCAATGGAGAAAATGTGCCCTGGCTCTGAGACACTCACACCCTCAATAGGCAGTCAATAAGTAAACAAGAAGTTACACAACACACCTAATAGCAGAGGTCACTACAAAGGGCTGGGACAAAATTTCAGGCCCAACTCAAAACTATGTCCGGTACGAAGCTTTCCATGAGCCCTTTACACACACACACACACACACACACACACACACACACACACACACACACACACACACACGTATGCACCATATTGCAAAGTCCTCTGCTTACATTTCTGTTTGAGCATTTGCCATATTGTGTTACCATCTGCTGGGCACTTGTATCTGTTTCTACTAAACTCTACAGTGCTTGGCTCTGTGGAAATTTGTTTATAATTTGAGGGGTAAAGCCAGGAATAAAAGGGAATTTGCATTTAATGAACACCTATACTGTGCCTATGTGGAAACTTACAGATTAATTTAATTTACACCTAACTATTACTCATAGGATAGGAATTATTATGTCCATTATAGAGGTGATGAAAATGAAGCCCAGACAGGGTAAGGTGCTGCTCTAGAGTTCTACAGCTGGAAAGTGGTAGGGCAGACTTTATCCTATGCATGGATGTTTCATTCATGCTCCCTCACAAGAATGAGCTAGGCCTTTGTTCGCCATGTCATGGGAGTTTCTTCCTTGTTCCAGTGGTCCCAAGCATTGCCACGGTGGTCATCATCATCTCCGTGTGCATGCTTGTGTTTGTCGTGGCCATGGGTGTGTACCGGGTCCGGATCGCCCACCAGCACTTCATCCAGGAAACTGAGGCTGCCAAGGAATCTGAGATGGACTGGGACGATTCTGCGCTGACTATCACAGTCAACCCCATGGAGGTGATCCCCATGCAGGGCTGGGAGTGCTGTGTGGGGCGCTTCTCCCTCCACCCAGCTCAACCCTTCCTATGCCTAAAGCCGCCCCATACCCCCGCCTTCTGGAAGCCCTGCCCCATCTAGTCCAGCTCTACTGGTTCTTCCTGCCTCTGAGCTCCTCTAGCCCTCTCAACCTGAACAGACCATACCTTCCCACCAACTACATTCTCTGATTTAAAATGTATTCATTGCTCTTACCCCACAAACAGAACCAGAAATTTTGTTAAGGCAAGCAAACACCACGAGGTGGCTATGCCTCGTTTCCCCTACAGTATTTAGCTCAAAGCTAACTAACCCTTAGGGACTCAGTACTGAAGTTTTGATTAACTAATAGTGCAAATTAGATGGCTTTGCTCCATACTGCCTGAAGAGTTCACTCAAAGGCTTGGAACAGATTAAAAGAAAAATATAGCAGCAATGCCTGCCATTTATTGAGCCTCCATTATGCCAGATACTGTATAGAGTGCTCTATATACACCACCTCATTGAATCTTCCAAAATCCTATAAAATAGGAGTTATCATCTTCATTTACCAAGGTGAAAACCAACTAAGAAAAAAAGTAACATACTCAAATTAACACAGCCAATAGTCAAATTTAAGGATGTCTGATTCTAAAGTCCATATCTTTCCAATTAGCCAACAGCCCCCAGAATCTATCCATGAGTGTCAAGCGAATCCCTCTACATCATGCCCTTTGCCCATGGGTTCTGGGTGATGATAGACACAGGCTTAGAAAAGGTAGGGGAAGATGATTATCCCAGCCTGGTCCCAGTTTCCACCTCAGCTGGCCTCACACTCCAATTTCAAAGCCAGTGTGCTGATGTGGCTCAGTTTCTCCAAGCATGTGCTGTAGGTAAAGTGCTGAGCTCAGTGCTATACAGACTCCAGAATTTCCACCTTCAAAGAGTTGAGACTTGAGTCTAGAAAACAAGACCACTATACCTGGAATGGTCTGAGGACAAGGCAAGAGTGTGCCTAACAAGGGCCAACCTTGTGATGTCAAAAGTCAATGAGCTTGAGGAGGAAAAGCCTTCAGGACTGCAACAATTAGGGAAGATTCCTTGGAGGAGGTTGGCCTGGGGGAGGCCTTGAAGAGTGGGTAGGATTTGGGGTAAGGTAGAAGGTAGGAGGTAAAAGACAATTCCCAAGAAGTGTCAGGGGAGGGGGGTGGGTAGCCAAGCAAGGAGAAACAACTTTTATGACCTGGTTCATCAACGCAGAACATAAATCCAGAAATAAAATTTTGCTGGAATTATCCAAAAGCTGGAGTGAGGGGGAATTGGACTGGAAAGGAAGGGGTACAGCCTGAGGACACAGTCAGGGGGTGAGCAGCAAGCATGGAAAGTGAGGACCAATAAATTTGTCCTTTCCAAAGGAATATTTTTGAGGGGAAGCATAACTGAGTCTTTGCTTAAAATGCCTTCTGCTCCCAGGGACATTGCATGCACACTTGGAAAAGAGACACAAGATCAAATGCCATCCTCTCACTGAGAAGCAAACACTAAGGCTTGGACAGCTCCATTTAAATAGGCTCCAGAAATGCCTGAAAACAAGCCTTGGCCTGAAAGGTTCAGTAAATGATGGATAGGATTGGCTTCAATGTCCAGCCCATCATTTATACCCAACAGTCTACCTTGAGTTCATGCCTTGGAATTTGCTGCTATTTCAGGCTTTTGCCTTGAACCTTCTAGCTTCCTTTTTATCAGAAGACTTGCCTTCCAGGAAGTCTGTGTCCAGGCTGAAGAGTTTGGCACTAAGAGGAGAAATTCCAAGGGGCCCTAAATGTTTCCTTAATGGATGGAGAAACATAAGCTCCAAAGTGGCCTCTGTTCAGTCCCTGACGAGCGTTTCCTTTCTCCCCTTGATATCCAGAAGCATGAAGGACCAGGGCACGGGGAAGATGAGACTGAGGGAGAAGAGGAGGAAGAAGCAGAGGAAGACATGAGCTCCAGCAGTGGCTCTGATGACAGTGAAGAGGAGGAGGAGGAGGAAGGGACGGGCAGAGGCAGACATGGGCAGAATGGAGCCAGGCAAGCCCAGCTGGAGTGGGACGACTCCACCCTCCCCTACTAGTGCCCAGAGGTCTGCTGCCCGGCCCACATGTCCCTTTTGTAAACCCTGACCCAATGTATGCCTACGTCTATCATACCTCACCTCTGATGTCTGTGACACGTCTGGGAAGGCCTTCTCCAGCTTCCTGGAGCCCACCCTTTAAGCCTTGGGGACTCCCTGTGTCTCATCCATGGGGAAGTTCCAAGAAGCCCAGCATGGCCATCAGTGGGGACTTCAGGGTAGACTTTGTCCTGTAGCCCCCACTTCTGCCCTAAGCTCCCCAGCATCCTGTCTACCTGTCTGTGGAGTCCGCCTTTGCTTTTTCCTGCAGGGAAGAAGGTCCACCTTTGTGTCACTCACCTCCCCAGGCTCAGAGTCCCCAAGGCCCTGGGGTTCCAACTCACTGTGCGTCTCCTCCACACAGACCAGCAGGTCCTCCTATGCTGACTCCAGGTTGCTTCACACTGGGAGGGTGGTTGGAGCTTCACACACCTAAGGTCTTAGTGCTTAACAGTTTAAAGGAAAGTCCTTGTTGAGGCAGAACTAAGTTCACAGGGAAAGGTACACACATTCTCTCTCTCTCTCTCTGTCTATCTATCTAGTTCCCCAGCTTGGAGAGCCTTTCCCTTTGCTTCTTTCTGGGGCCACATAAGCTTAGAAGAAAAGTCCTAAACCAAGAACAGGTCCTTGGCCACAAACAGGGCCTGATCCCCCATCAGAGCTATCTGAGCCTGCCTGCCTGGGCACCTGCTGCAACCATGCAGCTACCCTGCCAGGGGCGCTCACCACACAGAACCGCAGGGCCCAGGAGGCATTCCACACAGGCACTGCCCCAGGCGATAGCCACAAGAAGCCTAGAGCCAGGAAGCAGAAGGAAATGCTAACGAGATCACACACAGGCTTCATGGTGGGTGCGGTGGGGGTGGCTGGGCTCTCCCAGGACAGAGGGGACTTTGAGGTTGGCAAGGCTCTCCCCACTCAGCCTCATGGTCCCTTATCTCCTATTTTACACTATTTTCCCTCTTGAGAAAATACGTGCTTTCCGGATGTATTAGAAATGCATGAGCTCCACCGAGTCTACAATGAAAGTTTGAAATTTAACTGCAAGGAATTAGAAGCATATTTGCAATCATTGCAGCTTCTTCTTTCTTCTGCTCATAAAAGGAGGAACACTTAGATAGAGGGCAAATATATCTGAAAACCTAATTTCTTTCTTTTTTTGATAAGGAAATCTTTTCCATCTCCATCCTAACATGCACAACCCGTGAAGAGAATTGTTTCTATAGTAACTGGTCTGCGATCTTTTGTGGCCAAGAGAATAGCAGGCAAGAATTAGGGCCATGACAGAATTTCCACGAAGCTCTGAGAACATGTTTGTTTCGAATGTCTCAGGTTCCTCTTTGTCCTCATTGTGTACAATCTGTCCCCATCCTTCACTCCTCCCAAAGCTCACACCAATTGGTTTGGCACAGGCACGGAGCTGGTCCCTAGTTAAGTGGCATTTATGTTAACAAAAAAATAGTTCAGAATATCAGCCTTTTTCATTGTGTCATCAAAACAGCTTAAGAAGGGGACTACTGCCAATGTCCTCTAGTCCGACCTCCATCCAGGGAGGACCCATGGCAGGCCTTTTCAACTTTCTGATTCATGAGAATGACCTTGTGCAGCTTTTCCCACCTCCTAAAGTGTTTTCTGCATCTGTTCCTTCCTTTGGACCTCACAACAAATCCTGTGAAGTAACTGAGACATCTGTTGTTAGACACATTTTTGTGATGAGTAAACTGAGGCTTGGTGATTCTATGTCTTGTTCAGAGTCGTTAAAATGTATAGACAAGCCCAGACTCCCCAGTTCCACTCCTGGTCCAGGATTCTACTTAGGGGTCATAGGTATGCACCTAACAGACACTGCTGCAAACCTACTATGTGCTAAGCATTCTACCAACGGCTGTGAGAAAAAGAAAAGTTGAATAAGATAAGCTCCTCCCTAACAGAGGACTTTATATTTGCAGAGGGGAAATAAACAGGCCTAGAAATCACACAAGAGGCAAATGAAGGGAAAGAGGAGAAGTCACAGGAGAGGAAGGATGTGGTCACAAACTTAACCAGTGCTCTTGTTTTCCCCTTCTTAGGGAAAAATACCAGGAGAAGCTGGGGTTTTGTATTCATTGGATGGAAATAGATATTTCTCCTGGGAATTCTCCCAACCAAATAGCCCTTTTCTATTAGGCTGTGTCTGTACATCCACAAGAGGAAAGTCTGTAGGACTGATCAGTTTTCACGATCCCATTTAAATAAAAAAAAAAGATTCTTTAGTTGGGCATTTAGGAGCTACTGAATTCTCCCAAAATTGTGGCAGCAAAAAGAACACTTCGTATGCTTAAAACCCATTCCTTTTGAATTAGATTTTGATTTTCAATATTTAAGTCTAGTGTTTGTGAGAACGCTTTTCTCTTTGCTCAGTCTTTTCGGTCTGGTTGGGTAGGGAAGGTGCTCCTCATGCTCTCTGGGTGGCTGCCTTATTCATAGTTGAGAGAGCTGTTAGGTAAAATCTTTATATGTTTTGGGGTTTTTTGGTAGGGGGGTAGCAGGTAAAAGTGGCCCATGGCTAGGGCAGCAAAGATGAATAATTTGAGGAAGCATTTGGTTAGTGGACTCATTTGCAGGGAAACAGTGGCGACAAGAAATCAGAGCCATTTCCCTCAACTCTGGCTGTGTGAGGTCATTCTCTGCATGTCAGCTGCAAACACCAGGCACTTGAATGAATCCGCTGGGTCAGCAGGCATTGGTCATCTTCGCAACACCCTCTTCCTCACCATGGCTGAGAACAAGACGGGGGTGGTTATATCCCAGTAACAGAAGCTTTGGGAGGTATCCAGGTGAGCAGGGCAATGTGGCTTGCCCTCCCGCAGATATTCTGATCCCAAGGAAAAGGTGTCATTAATCAGTCTGGCATTTTCCACCCTCCATATGCTGGCATCCAGGAACCAAAACCCCTGAAGGCCTAGACACCCTGTGACCTCTCACTCAGATGTTGGCAGCCAGGCGGATACAGGCTCCTGTCCAGGAGGAACTGCTGACTGGTTTGGCCACAGCCCAGTTCATTGCCTGTCTTGCCAAGTGGACAACCAGATTCTGCCTTCCTGAGCTTGAAAATAGGCTACAACTCTCAGGTGATTCAGATGACATGGAGAAGTTGGAGGAAAAGATTGGAATGGTTAAATCCCAGTGTAGAATGAGTTGCTTCAGTGGAGTAAAGCAACCAGCTAGTTGGTAGCCTGCCTTGAAAAATACTAAACATATATCATACATTTGATCAAATGCTGTAAGCCTAGCCAAGGCCCAAATTCATCTAGATACCAAAAATGTGATTTCAGTGAAATCTCTTTTCATTACCACTTTCTTTTGTTATTGTTTGTTTGTTTTTTGAGCCGGAGTCTTGCTGCTCTGTCACCAGGCTAGAGTACAGTGGTGCAATCTCGGCTCACTGCAACCTCCGCCTCCCACGTTCAAGTGATACTCCTGCCTCAGCCTCCCGAGTAGCTGGGATTACAGGCATCCACCATCATGCCCGGCTAATTTTTGTATTTTTAGCAGAGACAGGGCTTTGCCATGCTGGCCAGGCTGGTCTCAAACTCCTAATCTCAGGTGATCTTCCCACCTCAGCCTCCAAAGTAATGGGATTACAGGAGTGAGCCACTGCACCCACCCCTCATTACCACTTCCTTGAATTTACTCAATCATCCTATCAAGCAGGGTTTAGACCAACATCTTTGCATTTAATAAGGGGTATCCTTTGTACACATGGACCATCCAGTGAGAGGGCTGGGGGTGGTGGGAAGCAATGTCCCCCATTCTTATACGTCAGGTGTCAGCAAACTACCTGTAAAGAGGCAAATAGTAAATATTCTGGGCTTTGTGAGCCATTTGGTACCTGTCACAAGTATAGTCGGCCCTCCATATCTGAGGTTTCCAAATCCATGGATTCAACCAACCTTGAATCAAAAATATTTGGGAAAAAAATGTATAGTTGCAACTGACCTGAACATATTCTTTTTTTCATTATTATTCCTTGAACAATATAGTTTAACAGTATTTACATAGCATTTACACTGTATTAGGTATTATAAGTAACCTAGAGATGATTTGAAGAACACAGGAAGATGTGCATAAGCTATATGCAAATACTATGCATTTGATATAAAGGAATTGAGCATCTGTGGATTTTGGTATCTGAGGGGGTTCTGGAACCAATCTCCTACAGATACTGAGGGATGACTGTACTCAGCTCTGCTGTTGTAGCATGAAAACCGACAATATATACGCAAATGAAGGTTTCAACACAACTTTATCTAGGTTCCATAAAACAATTTAAAAACACTAAAAAAGCATGCAGTTTGAATTTATATAATTTTCATGTCATTTTTTTACCCTTTTGATTTACATTTTTAATAATTCAAAAATATAAAACCTTTCCTCAGCCCACGGGCCATATGAAAATTAGCAGCCAGTTAGATTTGGCCCAAGGTCATAGTTTGCCAACCCCTACCACAGACGCATGGAAGTTAGCCTCCCACTTCAGGAGAAAGCAAGCTGCTCTCCTAAGCCTCTCACCAACTACCCAGTAGTCTTTGCCTCCAAACTGAACAACAGGAAAAAGTGCCATCGTTTTTAATTAAGCTGTTTTACAAGTCCGTGTTCCGGGGGAAAACAAAAAAGAAACAAACCAAACACTTATTATTTGCTGAACTGACAAACTCTGACAGATATTCCATGAGAGTTGAAAGCCTTGGATCGAGGTGACTGCCTGGTTACTGACTGCTAATTCCACTGAGGCAAGTGTTAGCCCCCCAGGCTCAGTGCCTTCCCAGCACAGCTCAGCCTATAATGATCTCTGAGCAGGAGTGTTCATTATCTCATACTGATTTTCATTTCAGCCCTGCTCTTGCCATTGCTCTAAAAATGATCCTAAAGACTTGTGACTGTCTGAATCAATAGCAACATCATCAGTAGAAAGCCCCACCGAGCACACTTCAAAATTAGCAATCTTCTTGGCTCTATGACTCAATATCAGCAAGCAGAAAAAAAGAGGGCTTTTT